TTAGATTCTCATAAGGAGCATGCAACCTAGATCCCTCGCATGCGCAGTTCGCAATAGGGTTTGCACTTCTATGACAGTCTAACGCTGCCACTCATCTGACAGGAGGCAGAGCTCAGGCCGTAATGTTTGCTCACCTGCCACTCACCTCCTGCTATGTGGGCTGGTTCCTAACAGGCCACAACCCGGTACTGGTCAGAGGCCTGGGAGTTGAGGACCCCTGTTGTGTAGGGAGGAAGCATACATGCAGGAGACAGTGTTCTATTTGATGTTTTCTGGAGATGCTGTCATGAAGACACTGTAGACTTACCTTTTTTAGGCTTAGAAAATGTTTACATTCAATCTGAACTGTCAGAGTCCAGATTGAAGACTGTTCTAAAGGCATTACCTTATTCGTCTTAACACTTTTGCTCCTAAAACAAGCTTCAGACACATTCAGTACACTTTGTTTTGATCCAATGTTTATTTGATTCAGAGGCTTTTCCTTTTGAAGGGCGTTTTGGAAACAGTCTTATCTGTAATCATGTGTACTAATTGAATAATGTTTACACTTTCCAGTGCAAAGTTGCTTAATTTTCAAGGGAAAAAAGGGAAAAACACTTCTGACATAATCAGTTTTCACTGAGATTGCATAGATTAGAGATTTTCCATCTCCTTTATGAAAAATTCAAATGACATAGCTATTCATCAAATACCATATTACATAATTACCAGGTTTTTCACTGAAAACTATTACCCAAATAGTCTGGGTAAGCAAATTCATCATCATCTCTGGAGATACACTCTATTATAACTAATGAAATCCAGCTAAGATTTGTATTCAAATATTTCCTGACTCTGAAATGAAAGAGTTGCTTTTATAAAATTTTCAAAATTGTGAAAACAGGTGTGTTTGCCATGTAAAAACATTTTGGTTGTGGGAGGTGCACCACAGCTAACCAATTGTTCACAATAGCTAACATTGTAGAACCTTCAGCATTAAATTCACTATCTCACTTCATCATCGAAATTCCCCATGAAGTGTTACTGTGCTCCTTGCATAGGTAACGAAACTGAGGCTTTCTCAGAGTCACATAGCTAAGTAAATGTCGGTCCCGAGATTTGACTCCAGTATTCTCTGATGCCACAGGCCCAGTTCTTTACCTGCAGTACTATCATTTGTGAATAATTTGGTTTCTGCAGCCATAAAATGTAATTTGTGAGTTGCTTTCCTTTCATAGATATGGGCAAACACCATGTCATAACATCAGAGCTATAACTTAAAAGCCTCTAAATAACAACTTGAGATAACAAAACCATTATCTTAAGTTCTAATATATGTGATCATACTATACAGGCAGTCCCTGGAATGCATAGTAGTCCGAGACAGTAAAAAGTGATCATGCAAACTGAAACCATGCAAAACAAACTTAATAATTAATGGGGAAATTTACAATTGTTTTGTGATCTTTAAATATCTTTGTGAAACATTAAAAAGTCTCTTACTGTTGTTTATAAATATATATAGAAATGAAAATATAGTAAAACTACTTAGTACTTCATAATTTAAAACATTAGGAACATTGAGAGTTAAACTTTTATTTCTTTGTAAACAGCTTATCAAGTGTATTTTGATCTTGCCTTCTTCTATAAAACTTAGGGTTCGGTGCGGTGGCTCACGCCTGAAATCCCAGCACTTTGGGGGGCCAAGGTGGGCGGATCACGAGGTCAGGAGTTCGAGACCAGCCTGGCCAACATGGTGAAACCCTGTTTCTACTAAAAATACAAAAATTAGCTGGGCGTGGGGGCGCATGCCTGTAGTCCCAGCTGCTTGGGAAGCTGAGGCAGGAGAATCGCTTGAACCCAGGAGGCGGAGGTTGCAGTGAGCAGAGATCATACCACTGCACTTCAGCCTGGTGACAGATCTAGACTCCATCCCAAAAAAAAAAAAAAAAAACTTAGGACACTGAGCAAGAATCTTTTCTTTGCTTTGGCAAGTTGTCATCCTCATTTTTAAGTTTGGATCATCTTCCAACGTTTTATCCTCTGCACTTTCAACATCTGGAAATATCTTTGCGAGTACCTTTAATGTGCCGGCATCACTTCCTCTTCGACATTTTCATCCTTTTTGCAACTACTGTACTGTACTTTTCTTTTTCTTTTTCTCTTTTTTTTTTTCAGACGGAGTCTCACTCTGTCGCCCAGGCTGGAGTGCACTGGTGTGATCTTGGCTCACTGCAACCTCCACCCCCGGGTTCAGACAATTCTCCTGCCTCAGCCTCCCCAGTAGCTGGGATTACAGGTGCCTGCCACTATGCCCGGCTAATTTTTTAAAATATTTTTAATAGAGACGGGGTTTCACCATCTTGGCCAGGCTGGTCTTAAACTCCTGACCTCATGATCCACCCACCTCGGCCTCCCAAAGTGCTGGGATTACAGGCACAAGCCACTGCACCCGGCCATACTGTACTTTTTCATTTAATAAACTGAAAAAATTGCCTCCACTAAGTTTCTTTGGGTGCACATCTAAAGTCCCTCAAACAGCATTAGTGTCAACATTTCCATATTCAGTTATGTCTTCTATAACTCCATTTAGGTAGTTTCGGGGATTTTTTTAGAGGCAGGGTTTCACTATGTTGCCTCAGCTCCTGGGCCCAAGCAATCCTCCTGCCTCAGCCCCTGGAGTAGCTAGGACTACAGGCACACCCCACTGCACCTGACTCCATTTGTTTTTTTTTTCAAATTTTACTTCCAGCATTGTCACTCTTTGTTTCTTTGCTGTGCTTTCTTTCTTGTTGTAATCCATTTTTGTAAAACATCACATGGATTTATCACTAGGAGACAAGACAAGGCAACTATATCCTTAGCCGTCTGTGAGTGAACTGAATAACAGATACATAGTAACCAATCAGCGGTTGACTTTGAATGAAGTGGTGTCATTTGCCATAGGTCATGATGTTATGTAGTGATTTTATAGACTGAAGAGCTGGTAGCGAAGATTGTGCATTATGCATGGCTCACAATCAATCTATTTGGTCACTGAAATTTGGACCATGGTTGGGGAGTAGCTGGTGTTTTAACTAAAGCATAGTAACTGAAACTTATGCATATTAGAACCTTACCAAGAGAGGACTACCATGATAGTTAATGAGGGGCATCAGGTTCCACAAAGGATCATAAAAATACTACTCTACTGTATTATACATTTACATATATACATGTATATCCTAAAGTAATAAGCTAGTTTTAAAATATTAACCATACTTAATGATTAATATTTATTATATTCTAATTATAATAATTTTACTTGCCATTTAGGGATTTAATGTATGATCCAGGAAGTTTGAAAGTTTGAATTGGGCCGGGTGCGGTGGCTCACGCCTGTAATCCCAGCACTTTGGGAGGCTGAGGAGGGCAGATCACGAGGTCAGGAGATCGAGACCATCCTGGCTAACATGATGAAACCCTGTCTCTACTAAAAATGCAAAAAAATTAGCCGGGCGTGATGGTGGGCGCCTGTAGTCCCAGCTACTTGGGAGGCTGAAGCTGGAGAATGGCGTGAACCTGGGAGGCGGAGCTTGCATTGAGCCAAGATTGCACCACTGCAGTCCAGCCTGGACGACCGAGCGAGACTCTGTCTCAAAAAAACAAAAAAAAAAAAGAAAGTTTGAATTGATATCTTCCTTTAGATATAAAGACATTCAGCATCAATTCATTGCTCTTAAGGCAGATCTCATGATGGTTTATTTTTTAAAAAGAAGAAGAAAAGAAAACACAAGTGCAGAAGGATATGAACACCATGATACTTCTTATAGAACAATAATGTAAACAATATTATTTGGTTATTGAGAAACAGTTACATTATAAATGCAAAAACTCATAATTCATAATATTTACCCATATGGAAGGAGAGAAATGCTTTAAAATTTTTTCACATTGCAATTTCTTATATACCTATGTTTAATGAGACAGTGTTTTGTATGGACACCTGAGTGTTTTTCATCACGTGGTAATACTTACTGTCTACATAAACATATCACATTATTCAAATTAATTGCTAATATTTACAGTTCCTATTTTGGACTAAAGGAATTGAATTGACTTATAAATTGTTCTTTTAGCTCTAAAATTCCGTATGTATTCTTTGACTTTTATATTAAAAACCATCAAAGCTGGGCATGGTGGCTCACGCCTGTAATTCCAGTACTTTGGGAGGCAGAGGCAGGGGGCTGGCATGCGCCTAGGAATTCAAGACCAGCCTGGACAACATACCAAGACTCTGTCTCTACACACACACAAAATTAGCCAGGTGTGGTGGTGCGCACCTGTGGTCCTAGCTGCTCAGGACACTGAGGTGGAAGGATCACTCGAGCCTGAGAGGCAGAGGCTTCAGTAAGCCACAATTGTGCCACTGCACTCCAGTGTGGGTGACAGAGCGAGACCCTGTCTTAAAAAAAGATAAAAACTGTCAAATGTAGTGCATGTTTGTTTTGGGGACTAAATGCTTATTTTTAAGAAGATGGTTAAAGTACTCAGCAATATTTAGTAAGTTAAAGCCTTAGGTTTTAAACCTGATTTGGGGTTGAGCTCTGGGAAGGAAAGGATGATTGATTCATAGGCACCCTGATACAGTCACTTATGATCTGAAAAACAGATGTACTATAAGGCACTCATAAAAATAACACCAGTCCTATGCTTATCTCTTAAAGTCATGTTGTTTTCTGCAAGGTGTTAAAAATGAAAATAAGATTGTTCTAATAACATTGAAGTTTCATGAGTATGTGTGTATGATACAAGTGAAATTGATGGGTAACTACTTGCAGTATAATTCTTTTAGAATTATGTACTTTTAGATTGACCTACCAGAACTGCTGAAATAAAAAACACTCCATTTTAATTTGAAATAGTGGGAACATTGGCTCCGCTGCAGTGATTTTTAAGTGTATACATGCCCGACTGAATGGATTAAGTTCATCATTGGTGCTGCATTGAGGTCATTCAGAGACTTTCTTTTGCCATTGCAGGTAGAGCGGGAAAAGGCCATTCTTTTGGCCAACCTACAGGAGTCACAGACACAGCTGGAACACACCAAGGGGGCACTGACGGAGCAGCATGAGCGCGTGCACCGGCTCACAGAGCACGTCAATGCCATGAGGGGCCTGCAAAGCAGCAAGGAGCTCAAGGCTGAGCTGGACGGGGAGAAGGGCCGGGACTCAGGGGAGGAGGCCCATGACTACGAGGTGGACATCAATGGCTTAGAGATCCTTGAATGCAAATATAGGGTGGCAGTAACTGAGGTGATTGATCTGAAAGCTGAAATTAAGGCCTTAAAGGAGAAATATAATAAATCTGTAGAAAACTACACTGATGAGAAGGCCAAATATGAGAGTAAAATCCAGATGTATGATGAGCAGGTGACAAGCCTTGAGAAGACCACCAAAGAGAGTGGTGAGAAGATGGCCCACATGGAGAAGGAGTTGCAAAAGATGACCAGCATAGCCAACGAAAATCACAATACTCTTAATACGGCCCAGGATGAGTTAGTGACATTCAGTGAGGAATTAGCTCAGCTTTACCACCATGTGTGTCTATGTAATAATGAAACTCCCAACAGGGTCATGCTGGATTACTATAGGCAGAGCAGAGTCACCCGCAGTGGCAGCCTGAAAGGGCCCGATGATCCCAGAGGACTTTTGTCCCCACGATTAGCCAGGCGGGGTGTGTCATCCCCAGTAGAAACAAGGACCTCATCTGAACCAGTTGCAAAAGAAAGCACAGAGGCCAGCAAAGAACCAAGTCCAACTAAGACCCCCACAATCTCTCCTGTTATTACTGCCCCACCATCATCTCCAGTATTGGATACAAGTGACATCCGCAAAGAGCCAATGAATATCTACAACCTTAATGCCATAATCCGGGACCAAATCAAGCATCTGCAGAAAGCTGTGGACCGGTCCTTGCAACTGTCTCGTCAAAGAGCAGCAGCTCGGGAGCTAGCCCCCATGATTGATAAAGACAAGGAAGCCTTAATGGAAGAGATCCTCAAGCTAAAGTCCCTGCTGAGCACCAAACGGGAGCAGATCGCCACATTGAGGGCAGTGTTGAAAGCCAACAAGCAGGTAATCTCATTCTACTGGTGAAAGCATGCTAGTTAAAGCTTTCTTAACTAATTTATTCCATAATTTATTGAGTATCCAGTATCATCAAGATGAGAGTTCAGATTCTTGGTCAGTGGAGAAATAAAACCATGTCCCAGTGTCAGATCAGAATGTCATAATAATTATTATTTTTAAATGAGTGAATGGATGAAATATCTGTGCCCAGCTAGGTGGAGGCAGAGGTGAGGAAGTTAAAAACACAGGAGAAGATCCAGATGCCTTTCCGCAGATGTAGAAAGGCAGCTCAGGCGGTGCTGGGCTGAAGCCTGGCAGTGAGTAGCTGTGGAAACAGGAGATGGAGGGTGGCAGAATAGGCTGGCAAGACAGGTTACACCAACCAGGGAGATACAGCAAGAAAGACAGACACCCAGCAGACAGCCGGAGCAAACAGAGGGAAATCTGGGTACAGATCATGAAGAAGGTCTGATGGCCAATAACTGGACCCCGGCTTTGGAGCTGGAGGTTCAGATTCAAGACTCAATTTCTAGGGGTATAGCAAGAATTTTTTGTTTTTGTTTTTGTTTTTTGTTTGTTTGTTTTGAGACAGAGTCTCACTCTGTTGCCCAGGCTGGAGTGCAGTGGTGCCATCTCAGCTCACTGTAACCTCTGCCTCCTGGGTTCAAGCGATTCTCATGCCTCAGCCTCCCAAGCAGCTGGGATTACAGGCGTGTGCCACCATGCCTGGCTAATTTTTTGTATTTTCAAATAGACAGGATTTCGCCATATTGTCTAGGCTGGTCTTGAACTGCTGACCTCAAGTGATCCGCCTGCCTCAACCTCCCAAAGTGCTGGGATTACAGACATGAGCCACCACACCCAGCCAAGTATAGCAAGATTAAAATGAGTGTTTTGTCCTTCATCCCAAACCTAGAGAAACAAGAGCACTAAATAAATGAACAAGTCAGGGATGAAAGGCAAGACAGCTGTGAGGAACTGAGTTACAGAAACAAAGCCAGACAGATTGTTATCAACAAATTAAATAGTTTGGGGCCACTTTAGCAAGCAAATGAGAGAGAGTGTGTGTGTGAGAGAGTATGAGAATGAGCTCTACCTGTGCTAGTGACCACATTCTGAAATTTAGGTTCATATGGGATGTTAACTCACGTGGGTCAGAGCTTAAGTAATAGGGAGCTTTTCCTAGCTATTGATCTTGTCCTTCTGGACAAGTAGTAATGTTACAACATGAACCTGTCTTAATTCCCAGCCCTCTTTAATGACTGAAATTGTTTTGCACTCTTGAGTTTTACCTGGGTGGGAGTGCTGCGAAATATAGGCAGGAAAATTCTTTTCACCTTTATTTAGTTTATCTGAAAAGATAGCCTCAAAAGACACATATTTGAGAAAGGTGCTGAATAAGTGTTGGTGTTGATAAAGAGAAGCAACAAAGCACCAAATGCCCTCTTGCAAACGCAAGCAGTGCCAGTGAATAGTAGGTCAGGGGAGCTCTTGGTCTTTAGTGATTGAAGGTTAATTTCAGATTCAGAATGCCTTCTCCGTTTGCCATTATCTGGGGAAAACCACGCCCTTATTATGTCATCTACAGTGCAGCTTTCGAGTCCTCATCTCTAGTTCCCATAAATCTATTTATATAATTGACATCTATACCATAAGCTGTAATACTGTTTGCACTATTAACATGTTTTATATAAACCTAAGGGCAAAATACGACTTTATTTTGTGTTGTCACTTTAGAAAAATAGAAAAGATTAGAGTGAATGAAGAGTTTGTGAGAGATCTGACTCCAATTTTAGGTCAGAATAAAGGAATTTATTATATAACTCTGCTATAATTTAAAGACTCAGTGATTCAGAGTGGTCATAAATAACCAATACCATATTAGATAAGGCTTACACAACCTTTATCAAGGACATACTATCCTAGGGCATTCTTGGTCAAGCCATCCAAATAACTTCTCTGACTTCTTCCTAAAGGTTGAATATTAACAATTTAGGGCCAGGCGCAGGGGCTCACGCCTGTAATCCCAGCACTTGGGGAGGCCAAGGCAGGCGGATCACTTGAGGTCAGGAATTTGAGACCAGCCTGACCAACATGGAGAAACCCCGTCTCTACTAAAAATACAAAATTAGCCAGGCGTGGCACATGCCTGTAATCCCAGCTACTCGGGAGGCTGAGGCAGGAGAATCGCTTGAACCCGGGAGGCGGAAGTTGCAGTGAGCTGAGATTGAGCGATTGCACTCCAGCCTGGGCAACAAGAGTGAAAATCTGTCTTAAAAAAAGAAAAAAAAACAAGATGCTTAACTGAAACAGAGGTATAGATAAGGACACTTGGCCCACCAACAGAGACTAATTTGTGAACCAGCATTTATTGATTACATATTTTCTGGGGGACAGTAATAAAATAACATATTTTCAGGGATGCAAAAATAAATGACATACTCTAGTAGGAATTCCACAATTGCCTATAGCTATTTATAAGATAGGAGTCATCAAGCGCTTTAGAGTGATGTAAACAGTACCACGGGAATTCAGAACAGAACAAAGCATTCCTAGCTGAAGTTTTATTTTCACAATTTTTTGTGGTACAGGTTGAGTATCCCTTTTCCAAAATGTTCGGGATGAAAAATGTTTCAGATTTTGGATTTTGGACATTTGCATATATATATAATGAGATAACTTGGGGATGGGATCCAAGTCCAAACATGATATTTCATGAGACAGGAAACAAGAAATTTCATGTATTCATATATACATAGCCTGATGGTAATTTTATACAATATTTTTAATAATTTTGTGGCTGAAACAAAATTTTGACTGTGACTCATTACATGAGGTCAAGTGTAGAATTTTATGGCATCATGTCAGCACTCAAAAGCTTTCAGATTTTGAAGCATTTTGGGTTTTGGATTAAGGATGCTCAACCTGTACCATTTGCATTACATTAGAGTTACAGTCTAGATGGACTCAGTAAATTAAATGAAAACCCGTTTCTAGTGATGCATTTGGTCCTACATGTTCATTATGTTGGGCCTGTTGCTGTGATGCTTATGTGCCATAAATAACTTTTAAGTATTAACAGATGACATTCACTATATTTAGACATTGTGGAATGTTCATTTTTAAGGTTAAGGTGAGAATTCTAGGGTAAAAAGAAAATCTCCCTGTTTTAAAATAGGCATTCTACTATACAGCCATAAGAAACAATGAGATCATGTCATTTGCAGGGACATAGTTGGAGCTGGAGACCATTATCCTTAGCAAACTAACACAGGGGCAGAAAACCAGATACCGCATATTCTCACTTATAAGTGGGAGCTACATGATGAGAGCAAATAGACACATAGAGGGGAACAGCAAGCACTGGTTCCTATTGGAGGCTGAAGGATGAGAGGAAGGAGAGGATCAGGAAAAATAAAGAATGGATACTAGGCTTAATACCTGGGTGAAGAAATAATTGGTACAACAAACCCCCACGACACACATTTACCTATGTAACAAACCTGCACATCCTGCACCCGTACCCCGAACTTAAAATAAAAGTTAAAAATAAATAAATAAAATAGGCATTCTGTAGTCTCTATGAATCTTCTCATTTACTTAAGGATTTTTTCATAGGCACAGTGCCTTCTGATGAAGTCAGTAAATGCTTCTGAAGCACCATCCATCTAGCACTGTGCTACATGCTGAAGATTCAAAGACTCACACATGGTCCCTGCCTTCCAGAAGACTCAGCCTCCTGGGGATGTCAGGATAGAAATACAATTACAGTTCAGCATTACACGTGCTGTAATCCAAGTTGTGAGAACAATACAGAGGAAGCAACTAAGGTTTCCTAGAGGAGCGGAAAAGACTTCACAGAAGCAATTATACCTTAGTTTGTTCTTAAAGGGTAAGGAGTTGTTTTCCAGAGGAGGAGGAAGTAATTCCAAACAGTAGGTAGAGAGCCTTAGGAGTGACAAAATAGAATGATATATTCAGGGAATGCTCACAAAGGTCTGCGTGGCTGGAAATAAGACTTTTTTATTTAGAAAGTCAACTTTGGAGTGTGTGGAGAATGTGAATGCAGACATCAGCAAACCCAATGAGTTATGGATACTTAAAATTACTTAATTCTGGAAAAACTTTGCACAGTCTATGGACAAACAAATCTACAAACAAAACTGAGGCTTTGGGGTGTTTGTCACAAACAATAAATGAGTTTGTATTTCTATTTCAGGTCTAGCTCTTCTGTTATCCCCCTCTTTATTCCCCTTAAATACTGACCATGGGACTCTGTGCTTACAAATTTGTTACATCTACATTTTCACAACTTAAACATACTTTTCTGTTTTAAATGAATATGTGTCTAAGCTTTTTAAACACTAAACAAGTGCCATTTTTCCCTAGGTCAATTTCTGCGTTGTGGATAATTTTCTCAATGTGTAATATTTCTGAAGATTCCTCCAAGTATTAACGCTACAGAACATACAGAAGTATTTTATGAGTAAAGTCTCATTTTAATCTGAATTTAAATCCAATCAAAACTCATAAGAAACTACTTCAGAACCAAAACAATAACAAAGTACCCCATCCCAACATTGATTTAATTAAGAAAGAATTTATTTCTATAGATGTTGTCACTTTGCATATGAAGGTTTCAAGCTGCCCATTTCAAGCCCCAAAAGAAATGTTAAAAACCAGGGTAGTCTTCCTGGGAAATCCCATTAGTAATGGATTTCTCTACTCGTAATGGGGTTTTTCATTAGTATGGGGTATTTGTATACATTCTGAAAAGTTATAGTTTCCAGTTCATAAAAATAATGTGTTCCCAGTTTGGCTTCAACATGCAAACTATGTGCTATGCATCAAACGGGCAATCCCTAAGTATACACTGATTTTATGCATTGATTCAGTCAGTGTGTTTTTTTACTTATGTGTGTGCCAGGGTAGCTCTTGATTTGAAACACTATTAATTCCAAGAACTTCAGACATGCCCAAATCCTAGATTCAAACAAATGTTTTAACTCATTCAACATTTCATAACCCCTACATTTATGGAGATTTTTAAGGAATTATATTTGACTCTTTCATTGTTTGGACAAATTGTATGCAAATTAGAAAGTAATTAGTTCTCTATCACTTCTTTTCCTTAAACATATAACATGGATTTATAGTTTATCATATACTCATATTATAAATTACAATGGTGTATGTCTTTTATTCTATGTTTTGGCCCCACAGAGCACAGGTGACAAAATTTGAGTTCTAACATATTCCAATTTGATTATTCCAATAGAAGCTCTGCCTCTTTACGAAATAATTAGTAAAATTTTTCTTGTATAAAGTTTCATTTTGGCTCCCTCCTTGTCCTGAAATCCCATACTTTCAACAATCTGCATTAAATATTTATTAAACTACTGGCATTCTCTTAGCTCCTGATACTGACTCTGGCTCACAGCGGGTTTATAGGGCAATTTAACTACATTATGAATTCACAACACATTTTGACATTAAAGAAAAACTTTCCTCTGTCCGAAGCGCATACCTATGTTTATATAAAATGTAACAAATCAGTTTCACTTTCCTTTTATAAAAGAACATAATAGGCCCAGCATGAAGCAATCTGTATGATGGATTTTCCTGATATGAAAATTGTAAGCCGTGTGATTTTCTGCTTTAGACAGCTGAGGTGGCACTAGCTAATCTCAAGAACAAATATGAAAATGAAAAAGCAATGGTGACTGAAACCATGACGAAGCTTAGAAATGAACTGAAGGCTTTGAAAGAAGATGCTGCAACCTTCTCCTCCCTGAGAGCAATGTTTGCAACAAGGTAACGGTATTTTCTTCCTACGACTGGGTGTGGTAGGTGGGGAAAAGGCTTTAAAATTCACAGCCCTGCCTTTGTGCATGTTGAGTGTATTCGGTGTGTAGTCTAGGATGGCTAAGTGTGAAGAAAATCTGTGGAAGTCCACTCTGATGTATCTAAAATTTTGCAAGCCTTCTGTGCTGTTTTCCAGAGCCCCCTACTGAACACTCTGGATCCAGAAATTCTATTACATAAAAATATTTTTTAAGTGAGTTAATATTAATAGATTGTTTCTAGAATTTATGCACCCCAAAGATACTCGCCTTCCAAATAAAAAGCTTTCAATAAGGGGGAAAACCCCACTTCCTAGAATAGCTAAATATTACCACCTCTGAAATAGAGTTCTGTGAAGGAAGTACATGAAAGTATATAAAAGCACCTTACCTTTAGTACTGTGTGAGAAGATACTGTCATAATGAAGGTTAATAATCATCATACCAGCTAATTACTTAGAATTTTTTTTTTTTTTTTTTTTTTTTGGGACAGAGTCTCACACTGTCGCCCAGGCTGGAGGGCAGTGGCGCGATCTCAGCTCACTGCAAGCTCCACCTCCCGGGTTCTAGAGAGTCTCCTGCCTCACCCTTCCGAGTAGCTGGGACTACAGGCACCCGCCACCACCCCCGGCTAATTTTTTGTATTTTTACTAGAGACAGGGTCTCGATCTCCTGACCTCGTGATCCACCCTCCTCAGCCTCCCAAAGTGCTGGGATCAAAGGCATTAGCCACCGCACCCAGCTTTTTTTTTCTTTTTGAGACAGAGTCTTGCACTGTTGCCCAGGCTGGAGTGCAGTGGCGCGATCTCGGCTCACTGCAAGCTCTGCCTCCTGGGTTCACACCGTTCATCCTGCCTCAGCCTCCCGAGTAGCTGGAACTACAGGCGCCCGCCGCCACGCCCGGCTAGTTTTTTGTACTTTTAGTAGAGACGGGGTTTCACCGTGTTAGCCAGGATGGTCTGGATCTCCTGACCTCATGATCCACTCGCCTTGGCCTCCCAAAGTGCCAAAGTGCTCGGATCATGGGCGTGAGCCACCGCGCCCGGCCATATTTTGTTTTTAAACGTGAAGTGATGGTTAAGAATGTATTTGATTTGAAGTTTTCAGAATCTTGAGATTTTCAGTATACTGTTGAAATACATATTTTGCTGTCACAATACAATGTAAAAAAAAATTACTTTTTTTTTTTTTGAGATAGGGTCTCTGTCACCCAGGCTGAAGTGCAGTGGCGCCATCTCGGTTCACTGCAGCCTGGACATCCTGGGCTCAAGCAATCCTCTCACCTCACCTCAGCCTCCCGAGTAGCTGGGACTGCAGGCTTGCACCACCACTCACGCTAATTTTTGTGGATTTTGTGGAGGCAGGGTCTCGCCATGTTGCCCAGGCTGGTCTCAAATTCCTGGGCTCAAGAGATCCGCCCACCTTGGCCTCCAGAAGTCCTGAGTTAGGGTATGAGCCACCATGCCCGACCAAATCCCACCAATTATATATCTTGTATGATGCAAACTTGGTGCAAAATTCACAAATCATTACTATGTCTTTACTGGCAGATTTAGTAAATAATTTACATGTAGCTGATACATGTAAAAGTGTTAAAAACAAACAAACAAAGATCTCTTGAGCTTTATAGGAGTCCCCCAGAAACTGTCCAGCTTTCTTTGTATGTTAGGAGAGTACAGGCTTAAGCTCAGACCTTGTGATTGAATCTCTTGGAGATGGCAGTGAGAAGGCTGAGTGCCCCAAAGCCCACAGGGGTGCAGAGGAACTGTAGGGAACTGGCTTCTGGGTCACAGGGCATGACAGTGTTTGGGGAATAGAATGTGTTTACCTGGCTGCTATGGTGGACAGGATAGAGAATAGGAATAAGGCACAATGCCCCCTCTTTGATGAAAGAATCAGGATTACATTTGGAATCAAGAAAACATAAATTTCCTCTTTGACAAGGAAACTTTTAAAAATGTCAAAGGACATTTCAAGTCTGAATCTGATTTATATAAGAATTATTATCCCCTAGCCAGGCACGGTGGCTCACACCTATAATCCCAGCACTTTGGGAGGCCAAGGCGGGTGGATCACCTGAGGTCAGGAGTTCGAGACCAGCGTGGCCAACATGGTGAAACCCCGTCTCTACTAAAAATACAAAAATTAGCCGGGCATGGTGGCGCACACCTGTAGTCCCAGCTACTCAGGAGGCTAAGGGAGGAGAATTGCTTGAACCTGGGAGGTGGAAGTTGCAGTGAGCTGAGATCATGCCACTGCACTCCAGCCTGGGTGATAGAGCAAGACTCCATCTCAAAAATAATAATAATAATAGTTTTTTATAAAAAGGAATTATCCCCAAATTGTCCATTTTCATATACTTTTTTTGGCGTAAATATGAAAATAATAATATTTATTATTCATATTTTAGTGGGTAAATAAATTCAGAAAAAAAAAAACTCAGAATGAGCTTTTCCCCCACACCACCTCTATCTTCCAAATGTATATGTGCTCAGGTTTTGCCTTTGGTAAGGAAAAAAGATCACTAAGCTTATCTTCCTTCTTTGGCACAAGTATGAAACCTGAATAAAGATGTTTCGGACAGCCTGCTATATCTGTATCAAACCTTGTGCAAATCTTGGTTTTTGCAGGGTTTTCTGTTTTTTGGTTTTTTGACAACTCATTGCTCTGTCATCTGGTTGAGAAATCATTGAAAATACTCAGTTTTCTAATTCAGGCAAATCAGTCAAATTGACAAGAGCAACAGCTGCAATCTAAAACTAAAACATGTAAATACAGATAAGGAAATGTTTTCTTCATAAACATTATTATTTTGGATATTATAGGCATAGCCTATAATAAACTTGTTATATTCCTCCAAAGAATAAAATGTTATACAGTAAAAAGAGCTACTGTAAGACACTTCAGGTACTGTGGACATTGTGGGAGACTTGACCGTTATTCTGCTGTTACACGGCAGCCCCACAATAACTCTGTCCCTGGGGTTTAAGACGTTGCCTATTAAGACTGTCTCCATATGGGCTGGGTGCAGTGGCTGATACCTGTAATCCCAGCACTTTGGGAGACTGAGGCAGGAAGATCACTTGAGGCCAGGAGTTCGAGACCAGTCTGGGCAACATAGTGAGACCCTGTCTCTTTAAAAAATGATCATGACTGGGCGTGGTGACTCATGCCAGTAATCCCAGCACTTTGGGAGGCCAGGGTGGGAGGATCACTTAAGGTCAGGAGTTCGAGACCAGCCTGGCCAACATGGTGAAACCCCGTCTCTACTAAAAAAATACAAAAATTAGCCGGGCATGGTGGCACACTCCTGTAATTCCAACTACTTGGGAGGCTGAGGCATGAGAATTGCTTGAACCTAGGAGACAGAGGTTGCAGTGAACCAAGATCACGCCACTGCACTCCAGCCTGGGCAATACAGCAAGACTCAGTCTCAAAAAACAAACAAAACAACAACAAGAAAATAATAAGTTTTTTTAAATGTCCCATCTGTCCTTCATTGTATGGATGAACATACATTCTAATTTTCTGCTATTATAGGTTATCTACATTCTATTGCTAGACCTTTAAACCAGTCTTCTAAATTTCTAAATTTCAGTCAAATTTATTACTTTTCAACTTAAGTCCAAATTCAGTTTCACCAAGATTTTCCCCTGACCCCTTCTCTGTTTTGGTTGCAGATGTGATGAATATGTCACCCAGTTGGATGAGATGCAGAGACAGTTAGCAGCCGCAGAGGATGAGAAGAAGACTCTAAACACTTTGTTACGAATGGCTATCCAGCAAAAACTCGCCCTGACCCAGAGGCTGGAGGACTTAGAGTTTGACCATGAGCAGTCCCGACGCAGCAAAGGCAAACTTGGAAAGAGCAAGATCGGCAGCCCTAAAGTAAGTGGGGAGGCATCAGTCACCGTGCCCACCATAGACACTTACCTCCTGCATAGTCAGGGCCCACAGACACCCAACATTCGGGTCAGCAGTGGCACTCAGAGGAAAAGGTATGCATGCAGCGATCTTCATAGTACGGTGCAGTGGCCAGATTTTAGTTAACTGCAAAAATGAATGTGCTCTTGTTGTGGAGGATGGAGGAGGGGAAGGAAAAGAAAAAATGGGAGCTGGCATATAAATGGTCCTTGCTAATGTGGGTCTTTCCAGATCAAAACCTTTTTGATAATTGTGTTTATGTAGTCCTTTCTAACCCCCTGCCCAATCCCTCCTCTTGATTAATCGTAATATAATTTTCAAGTGTCTGTTAATATTTTTGCTACTCTTTGTATGTGTAAATATGCCTCTCCCTTCCCTCCAACATAAGAATTAGTAGATAAAGGTGGATATTAAGAATGAAGCGTGTTCTACCTGGGTTATAATTTTAAAAGTCGTTGTACCTTTGGAAATGGTGCTGTTTATCAGCTTCTCTTTAACGGGACAAGGATATGAATATGTTCTTTTAGGGTAACTTTTGTCCATATGACCAAAATTGATGACGGTCTGAAAGGGGATGTCTATATCTAGATAAAATGGGGTGGAATACACACAGTCCTTTTCTTGAAAGCGGTTTTTGTGCTTTTTCATTTGGCATGGGAATATTGCCCAGAGAAACCACTTGTAAGGTTTTTAGGGGCTTGATTGTGTGACCTCTTTCCAGAGTCCTGGCTGTTGAGTTACTTACCATGTATTTTCGGTTAATGGTAACATTTTTATTTTAGGAGCTTTCATTAAAGACTCAAATAATATATTTTCTATTTGCGGTTCAAGCTGACTAACTGTAATAAATCTCTTTTCCAGTATCCAGAACAGTTTCCAAATAGGGTTGTATCCTGATGTGGAAACTTAAAAAAAAAAAAAATAGCAAAAATATTGATTTACATATTTAAACAATGAAATGCCAATATAAATAATGTTGTCACTGGTGAGGCATTGAAAGGTAATTAAAGTAAAACTTTTTTGTTTCCTATATGTATTTTTCTTGGATCTCCTGCAAGACAATTTTCACCTTCCCTTTGTGATCAGAGCCGTCCCAGGACTTCAGGGGCTTCCTACCTACAGAATTTATTAAGAGTTCCCCCTGATCCCACCTCCACAGAATCATTTCTTCTGAAGGGCCCCCCCTCCATGAGTGAATTCATCCAAGGGCACCGGCTCAGCAAGGAAAAAAGGTTAACCGTGGCTCCACCAGGTAAACATTTTTTCCTTGGGTGCATGTGATGCAAATGATTAGTTGAGTAGACTCTCCCCTTCCTTCCAGTCACTCAGGCCCACGCATCTGCAGAGTCTACCTTTGATGATGTGTAAATTCCTACAAGTCAAGTAAAAACTTCCTTTACACTTAGCTTCCTGTTTCCTCCTTTACTCATATTCCTTAGAATGACAGACTTCCATTTAACAGCCAAAGATGGCAAATGAGAGTTGGAAGGACTGGGATAGGAAAAGGGAAATTAGCAACAAGCACAATACATACACACTTGGATCCTATTTGCAGTTTGGTAGCTCATGGTGATTCCATCTTGGTCAGATTTGGCCAGTTCTCTCTTATCATTTTTAATATAATTTCCATAAAGGGAGCCATATGTATAACAAGGCTTTTGGGCTGATTTCCTTTTGTAGTGACTCAGAATGTCTCCTCAATCATTATATTGAGAATAAAAGTAAAACCCTCTAAGATTTTGCTCCTCAAGAACATTTAGGTCTTAGTATAATGTTCTTGTAGATTGCAAGCCCCCGTTCGTTAATGCTTACCAACATGCTCACACTTAGCTTCACTATTTTGCATTTTTCTTCCTTCCTTCCTTCCTTTCATTCTTTTTACTTGTTCTATGAAGAGGCCTAAATTGAAAATGTGACATATGACAAATAGAGAAAATGTGACTTCTTGCAAATAAAAATCATCCTTTTGAGGAATCCCTGCATGTGAGTATAGGGCAGAAGTGGCAAACAAGGAGCCCATAAACCAAAGTAAGCTTAAGCGCAGCTGTTAGACTATTGCCAGAAAATAAAAAATAAAACTAATTCAAGTTAGTTATCGACAGTTAAAAATTCAAGAGATTTTGTATGAGCATCAGTATTTCTGGCCTCTTTTGGAAGATTCTGAATATCTGGCAGCCCTAGGTCTGCGCTCACGCATGTCAACACCTGTTGGAGCTCTGTAGTGGCTGTTGCTGTTAGGGCAAGCTCTGCACTTTGCCACAGTCCCCACTCCTCCTTATTACTTATACCCAGCCTGCTATCCTCATTTCTATTCTCTCCTGGCCCCTCTTGTAGTCTTTGAGTTTGCCACCGCTGAAATAGAATTTATTTTTTCATTTTACCTTAATTCCTTTTTGCAAACCTCAGCCTTTGAATCTCTAATACTTTCCTTATCTGATTCATGGAATCAGCCTACTGATTGGGATTAAAAGATGTGGTGTAGAAACTGATAGTGCATTTCACGTTCTAAAGGTGTTTGAGGAAATTGGTAGTGATAATGCGTTGGAATGGTGTAATAGCCAAAATATACACCTAAGAAGAAAAAAAGTAAAAACTGCTTGGTGTTTTTAATTTCATAACTGATTTCCTATTGTTTTAGACCTCCTTGGAAGGTACCTTGAAGTATTCTGTGAATCACCAAAGTGGTAATGATTTATCAGGATACCTAACTCGGATAAAACCCACAAAAGTAGGCCGGGCGCGGTGGCTCAAGCCTGTAATCCCAGCACTTTGGGAGGCCGAGACGGGCGGATCACAAGGTCAGGAGATCGAGACCATCCTGGCGAACACGGTGAAACCCCGTCTCTACTAAAAAAATACAAAAAACTAGCCGGGCGAGGTGGCGGGCGCCTGTAGTCCCAGCTACTCGGGAGGCTGAGGCAGGAGAATGGCGTGAACTCAGGAGGCGGAGCTTGCAGTGAGCTGAGATCCGGCCACCGCACTCCAGCCTGGGCGACAGAGCGAGACTCCATCTCAACAACAACAACAACAAAAAAAAAACCCATAAAAGTCTTCTTTTTAGTGTTCCAAATGGATTTAGTAGAACTATCTACTGGAACTTAGAAAAGAAATTGGTATGATTAATAAATAACTCCTATTGTTGTTTAATTAAAAAGATAACATCTCAGTAAGGTTAAAAATAATCAGTGTTAACAACAATAACTGTTTCCATTTTTGTATGACTGGTTTTTGTTTACATGGATATATATTTTATATTGTTATCATTACATTGTTTAAGCCATGAACATTACATCACAAGTTTTTCCATGTTGCTATCTAGTCTTTTATTTGTTAAAGTTATTGTATCATAGATTTTGTTTCAGATGCTGTCACCACATTAATCACTACTTCCCCTCGTCCACTGAGGTAGTTTTTCATTGTGTGTTATATTATGGAGTACTGCCGGGAATACCCTCATGCATTCAGCTTCTCATCTATTAAATGTTTCTCAGGAGTGAGATCACTCAGTTAAAAGTTGAACATCTTTACGTTTTTGGCTCCATTCTAATGTTGCTGTCAAGAAGGGTATATCAATGTACTAAAAGCCCATAAAACACTTTCCCGTTTTCCCAGATTGGGAATCTTTCTGCTACTTTATACACACTGTACGCATCTTACAACTCTAAAGTCAGTTAGCATACATGAATAAGAGTACCAGTATATTGTCTTAAACTCTTTAGTTTTGAATAACCAGAAAATACCTTACAAATTGACCTTAGAAATGATTACTATTTATGAGATTCGAGGCTGAGTGCGGTGGTTCACACCTGTAATCCCAGCACTTTGGGAGGCCGAGGCAGGTGAATCACTTGGGCTCAGGAGTTTTAGACTAGCCTAGGCAATATGGTGAAACCCCATCTCTACAAAAAATACAAAAATTAGCCAGGTGTGGTAGTGGGCGCCTGTAGTCCCAGCTACTCAGGAGGCTAAGGTAGGATCCCTTGAGCCAGGGAGGCGGAAGTTTCAGTGAACCGAGATGGCACCACTACACTCCAGCCTGGGTGACAGAGTGAGACACCGTCTCAAAAAAAAAAAAAAAAAAGATTAGAGATATAAGGAATGTGGAATTCAGAATCATCACCAGACCGGAAGATCACGCTGACAGCTTAACATATTGATAACCTTTACAATTCTCACCAGTTATGTAAAGTTAAAATAATAAAAGAGGAAAGGAAGTAAAGCTGTTATTATAGCCTTAGGAATTTTTAATTATATATCATGGAATCAACCAGATTAATGCTTAATAAATTCTTATCAGTCTTAGCAACATTTTCTAAAAGGTCCTAGTTCAATGAATTGCTATAGAAAGTGACTGACCATCCACACCAAATAAATTATAGCTTCTATAAATATCTGCATTATTACCAATATATGTTATTTTCCCTCAACTGAACTATATAGGGTAAAACATATCAAACATTCATTATGATGCTTTTACTATATAAAATCTTTTCATTAAGCCAAGAAAGATAAAATATGCTATATATGACCAGTCTCATGTTCTATATAAGAAATATCATAAGCCTATGGGAAATAATAGATTTTATGAGTATTTTTAAATTCATGAGTTTAACCATTATAAAATTTGCTAGCTAGTAACAGTATCTATTAGTCATTTTAAACAGAAAGTTCTCTATTAATTTGTCAGAATGTTTTTGATAAGCTAAAAACTAAAATATATTTCTAAAATATATTTTTAATACATGTTTTTAGGTGATTTTTAAATCACCTAAAAATTTATTTTTAATATATTTTTAATACATGTTTTTAGTTGATTTTTAATTATTCTAATAAGCAAATATGGGCTTTATTTTTCTATTGAGGACCGTTGAAGCAATTATCTCAACTAAAAATGAAATTAGTTTAATTTGTTCTTAATCCTTCAGTTGAGGAATTGAGAGAGGTATGTCTCATTTAAAAATTTAAGACACAGAACATAAAATGTTATTTATTCTATATAAGAGATACTTTCAAATAGATTTTATTTCTATGAGATGGTAAACAGAAAACCTCATCTCCTCAAGTACACAATTTCTCAATTCTAGAGAATCAACTATAGGGTAGGCCATTGATTTTCAACATTAGTAGAATGTTTTATACTAATTAATGCATTATCCTGATTGATTTGCTGCATTAGTACAACCTTTTAAGGGAAAATTCTGGCGTTTCCCTCTGGCTGGCTCAGCTTCTGCAACCTCAGCCCTTGCAATTCCAGTGCTTCTGGCCATGGCTTGCTTGTTGATTTTCTTGCTCTTGACGTTATCCTTATCCTGGCACACAAATTCCAGTGTCCTTCCACATGCTCATCTTAGTTTTCACAGTTTCATTTACCAGCTGATCTGAGAAGTGCCTATCAGCCTTGATGACCTTGACTCAAAAGGGACCCTGTTGTCATCAAGGAGTTTGTAATTAGGCAGCAGATTGTGTGTCTTCACAAAATTGTTGCCTATTTTTTAGTCAGCATTTTATCTTGATTCCTTAACTACCTAGGCCTATATCCTTCTCTTCCTCCTTCTTCTCTTCCTCCTCCTCCTCATCTTCTTCATCATGATCTTACCATTTAATCAATAATTACAGTCAGCCTGTCAGAATATGTAAAAAGAATCCGTGTAATTCACAGGCAGGAGTTGTTATTTCTGTAGTAACAGACCTGACTGCAGCAATTACACAAGATAAGTAGGAAATGGCAAACCTGGAGAAGCAAGTTTGAACTCAGTCTGGAAGTAATAGCCTAAGCAGCTTGCTCTTCACACTGTTTCCCATGTCACGCTTTTCCTCTTAGATATCTTGCTTCTCCCTATCATTTCAATCTCCTCCCTTCCTCTGTTCCTCCCTCCTTCATCCCTCCCTCCCTCTCTTTCTCTGACACAGTGACTCAGCTAGTTTAAGAGAATGGTATTATTTTGAAGTCTGAAAATGTTTCTGTGACATTTTACATTGTACTGTTTTTTAAAGCAACTCACAGAAGTGTATTAGCCTTAGATACATAATCACCCCTTGAGATACATAGTCTACCCTACACACGACATGTTCCTAGTAAAAACTGCCTTTATGTTTCACTGCATTCAGACAAGTAGATATTTGTTTGTTTCATGTATTGCAAAGCCTGTGTTCTTAAGCATGTACCAAAATCACATTTCATTAATCCATTTACTCATTCACCAGAATTTAACAAAAGTTAGTGAATATCTACTATGTGTCAGGCACTTTTCT